TAGTAGTAGTAGTAGTAGTAGTAGTAGTAGTAGTAGTAGTAGTAGTAGTAGTAGTAGTAGTAGTAGTATCGTAGTCGTAGTAATAGTAGTAGTAGTAGTAGTAGTAGTAGTAGTAGTAGTAGTAGTAGTAGTGGTAGTGGTAGTGGTAGTGGTAGTAGTGGTAGTAGTAGGTAGTAGTAAGTAGTAGTAGTAGTAGTAGTAGTAGTAGTAGTAGTAGTAGTAGTAGTAGTAGTAGTAGTAGTAGTAGTAGTAGTAGTACTAGTAGCAGTAGTAGTAGTTGTAGTCGTAGTAGTAGTCGTCGTAGTAGTAGTAGTAGTAGTCGTCGTAGTAGTAGTAGTAATAGTAGTAGCAGTGGAATTGGTAGTGGTAGTGGTAGTGGTAGTAGTAGTCGTAGTAGTAGTAGTAGTAGTAGTAGTAGTAGTAGTAGTAGTAGTAGTAGTTGTAGTAGTAGTAGTAGTAGTAGTAGTAGTAGTAGTAGTAGTGGGAATCGTAGTCGTAGTCGTAGTTGTAGTAGTAGTGGTAGGAGTAATGCTTCTTGACGCTTCGCGTATCCCTACCAACCCATCCAGAAACGATCAGCAGGGGAGTTTGTGAATTAGGGATGGCTTGAAGCATGCATTTGCGCGGCCGTCTTCAGAAAACAATGATCACATATAGCTTCCCGTATCGATGTTTAAGATGGAAATCACTGCAAGATACGGCGTAGTGTCCCCCGTGGTAAACGTCTCTAGCGCATGTGGCTGTACCCACCCCAGGCCATGAGAAACAAGGATCGCACATAGCTTCCTGCAGCGAAGTTTGATATGGAAGCCGGTGCAAGATACGCTGGGGTGTTCCCTGTTGTAGGCGTCTCTGGTGCAGGTGACTGTATCTATCATTCGTCGCCTTTGTCGCACAGTTGAGAGCCGCATCCCCATATGCATCCTTGACCTCTGCCCCCGCACTGAAGTTTATCTTACACTCGCGTTCGGCTGCTGGTGCTGGTGATGGTGGTGGCGGTGGTGGCGGTGGTGGTGATGATGCTTGTGTTGCTGCTTGTGGTGCTCTGTTGCCCTCTTGGAGCCGTCTTGGAGCAAGTGGTGCTGCTGGTGCTGGTGATTCCTGGGGCCATCTTGGGGGTAAGAGGAATGAGGAGGAGGAGGAGGAGAAGGAGGAGAAGGAGAAGCAGGAGGAGGAGGAGGAGGAGGAGGAGGAGGAGGAGGAGGAGGAGGAGGAGGAGGAGGAGGAGGAGGAGGAGGAGGAGTAGGAGGAACGCGGCGCGAGGATGATGAAGAGGAGCAGGGAGGCGGCAGGAAATAAGCAAGGAAGGAACGGACGATGACAGGAAGGACGAGAAGTCGGGCTTTGGGCATACGTCGTGGTGAGGGGTTCTTCGGGGTCCCTTGGGGCTCCCTTGAGGCTCTCTTTGGTCTCTTTCGGGGAGTCTTGGGGCCTCTTGGGTCCTCTTGGGGCCCTCTTGGGGGGTCTGGGAGGCCTTCGCTCAAAAAGAGGGGGGTCTTAAATTTAGGTCTCCCCCTCGGAGGCCCAAAAGGGGCGTCTTGGGGCCGTCTTGGACCGCTCTTGGGGCGCTCTTGGGCGCTCTTGGGGTCGTCATGGGGCCCTCTTGAGCCTCTCTTGTGGCTATGTTGGGCCATCTTGGGACCATCTTGACGCCTCAAGAGCCCATCGGAAGCGAAAAAACGAAAAGGCAAAAGACATTGATCTTCTGTAGGTTTTGAACCCATTTTGGCCTCTTGGGGGGGTCCTTGGAGGGCTCCGAAGGCAGTTGAAACCGTCTTGGGACCGTCTTGGGGCCTCTTGGATGCGTGTCGGAGGCTATCGTGAGCCATCTCAAAGTATCTTGGGCCATCTTGGAGGCCATCATGGGCTATCTACAACCCTCTTGGAGCTATCTTGGGCCATCTTAGACGCTCTAACCCCTCGGGCCCCCGGGGGGAGGCAGACCTTCCGAGCAGGGAAAGGAAGGAGGTTGGAAAAGGAAACGCTTTAGACCACCTGCGCCCAGAGGGCTGGTGGGATGATACGAATAATCGTTTTAATCGTAGTAATAATAACATTTAAAACATGAGGCGCAGAGTAATACAGCAAGAACGACTAACTATGATGCAGGCCTCATTACCTCTCTCCGACCTCGAGCTCCCCCTCCTCCCGCGCCACGCGCCGGCCAGGCGGGCGCCCGAGCAAACGCCGCCCCCAGGGCCGTGGTGCCCCTGGTGCGCGCGGGCGATGCCGCGCGCCGCCATCCCGCAGCCGAGCCAGCCGCAGCCGAGCGACCCGTGCCCCACCACGGGGCAGGCCCTCGAGGAGAGCGGCCGGGTCCGTGCGAAAGTGCTGGCGGGCAGGCGGGGCGGCCCGCAATTCGTGGATCCCCCAATGGGGTGCGGTGTGCCCGGGGTCCCGCCCCCCATGGGTCGGTCTGTTTCCTTCTCTTGCGAGCCCCCGGTCTTCATCCCGGGGCCGCGTGCCCGGGATCTCGCCCCACGGGGCGTTGCTTCCGCCCGGGATTTTCGCCCCCAGGCCGCGCGAAGCCGATGTCCTCGCCCCCAGTGACCACACCTCGAGTAGGAGATCGACTGCGGAATGGTTGTTCCCCAGAAGTGTGTCGTGGAGCCTCCGAACATTGCGCAGAGTGCTCCGTAAGTCTACGGAACATTCCGCGCACTGTTGGTAGATTCGATGAAAAATTTAGGGATACATCAATTCTGTAGTCGATCTCCTACTCGAACACCGCGTGGTGAGTCAGTGGGGAATTGGGGTCACCGCGCGGCTTTGGGACTCGGGTTGTTCTCCGAGGACGTCTCGGACGGCTGGGGCCTCTGGGGTCCCAAGTCCGTATGGTGACGGACCGCGCTATGAGGTCGTTGGGATTCCGAGGGCATCACTCGGTCCGTCACCATACGGTTTTGGGGGTCCCGAGGTCTCGCTGTGGTGCGATACGGTCAAGATGCTGCCGAGAGCAGGAATCGGCGGGGGGGTCTGAGGTGGCCCAGCATTGGTTCTAGCCAGCAGCAAAGCGGGGGAGTTTTTTGTTGTTTTTTTCAATCCCTTTTGGCCCTTCTAGGTGCTTCTCGTCACCATGGCTGGACGCTGCTCGAAAAACTTGGGCGTTTGGATCCCGGCAGGGGTGTGGGAACCGATTTTGAGCGCATTCGGCAGGACTCACCCGCTCTTTACCGATTTTCTCGCAGCCCATCCAGCGCAGACCCCTCGGTGGCCTCCAAGTTGAAAGAAGGGTCTCTGGTTTTCTAGCCGTTCGCCTAGACCCAAGTCGGATGTCCTATTCGTTGCCGAGGCTCGCCGTTGTCAGGAAGCCCCCGTCGATTTTGTGTTCAGGGGGCTCTTGTTTTCGGTCCGTCCTCGTAGCTCTAGGTCCTGTGGCCTGTTCGTCGCCGAGGCCTGCCGTGGCCAGGAAACTGCCTTCGTTCCTGGCTCAGCGCTTCTTGTGATGGCACGATGGCTTTGAGCGATGCGGCCCGTAGTCAACGGCACGGTGCGACACGACCCTGCAGGCGAGACTGCCCTGTGAATCTGGTTGCGCGCTGCCAGGATGACTCCCTGCGTGCTGCCGGTGCCCGCATCGGGAGCGGGCCGCCGCAGAAGCCGGAAGCCGAACCAGGCAAGCACGCAAGCAAGTCCAGCGGGGCGACTCGAAGAGCGGAGGAGGACGGAGGAGGAAGAGGAAGAGGAGGAGGAGGAGGAGGAGGAGGAGGAGGAGGATGAGGAGGAGGAGGAGACATGTCCTCACCCCTCTGGCGTAAAACTGCCAGCGAAATATCCTCACCCCTCTGGCGCAAACCTGCCAGCGAAATATCCTCCCCCCCGCTGGCCTAAAACTGCCAACGAAATAGCATCCACCCCTGGCCCAAAACTGCCAGCGAAATGTCCTCAACCGCCTGGCCTAAAACAGCCAGCGAAATGTCCTCACCCCCTGGCATACAACTGCAAGCGAAATATCCTCACCCCGCTGGCGCAAACATGCCAGCGAAATATCCTCACCCACCCCCTGGCCTAAAACTACAAACGAAATATCCTCACCCCCCTGGCCTAAGCCTGCCAGCGAAATATCCTCGCCCCCGTGGCCTAAAACTGCCAGCGAACTGTCCTCACCCCTCTGGCCTAAAACTGCCGCTCACCCCCCTGGACAAAACATGCAGCGAAATATCATCACCCCACTGGCAAAAACCTGCCAGCGATATCCTCACCCCCCTGGCCTAATCCTGCCAGCAAAATATCCTCACCCCCTGGCCTAACTCACCGGAAATAGAACTATCATCTCACGGCTCTGGTGATTCAACCAGTCAGTGAGTCAGCGAGTCAGTGAGTCAATGAGTCAGTGAGTCAATGAGTCCGTCAGTCAGTCAGTCAGTCAGGCAGTCAGTCAGTCAGTCAGTCAGTTACCTCACGAAATTCGAACTACTGGCTGCGACCGTAAAACACAAACGCCAAGCAAGTGCGAAGCGGGAACGCAAACTCGAAAATGCACGGCACCCCGCCCGTGAATCTGCTTCAGTGAAGAGGGCCCACGATCTGTGTGGCTTATCAGCAAATCTAGAGGGCGGAAAAAATGAAACACCCAATAATAATCACCCCCCGACACGCGAAGCCGTTTGGTAAACGCTCCCACGGGAAGAATCGAACAAGGCAGGACTGTTTAATAAACGAATAGGGCCGTTTAGTAAACGCCGATTATCGGGTCCAGGTGGCTTCTCCTCCCTCGATGATCCACATGTGTACAAGCATCAGGCTCAAAACAAGTTTTATGCGGGAACCACGTGTTCAGCGTAAACTGTGCCCTGGCCAAGTAATCAGCCGCTACAGGCTTTGCCGACGAACGCGCGCGGCGCGGCGTCGAGAGCCACATGCTGAAAACCACCCCAAGAGGGGAAGGAAGGGGGGCAGGGCGAGCAGGACGAGGAGCAGGAGGAGGAGGAGGAAGAGGAGGAGGAGGAGGAGGAGGAGGAGGAGGAGGAGGAGGAGGAGGAGGAGGAGGAGGAGGAGGA